GATGCAAAGCAAGAAACGGGGGTGCGAGACGCGCGAAGAAATCGGAGCTTAGGCGTATGTGCGCAAAAATTCAAAAAGTCCCAACCGAAACCGTTTCTTGGTTTTCATACCGCGGCCGCTATTCGCCCGCGCGCGAATTATTTAGCCAAAAAGAAAAAGAAATGAAAAAGTCGTTTCAAAAAGAAAAGCAAAAAGCAAAAAGAAAGAAAAACCCCTTCCTGTTCGCATCCGTTCTTCGGGGCTCCCGGGGGATTTTTCCTCAGGGATACGCCAAGTCGCGCGGTACGGATCTGAGCTTATCACATCTGTGATACGCAGGGGGTTCCGAAAAATTAGCAGTCTCCCGACTGCTGATGTTATCATATTTTGGATGCTCAGGCGGCCCCTTCATCGTCAGTTGGCCCGATCGGTAAGTAGTCCACTGAAAATATATATATATGTTTTTCCACATATACAGCGCGTCTCGACGCGCGAACTTTGGTCATAGGAGAAGAAGACGATGAAGAGAAGGAGAAGGTGAGAAGAGGGGAGAGGTAAACGAAGGTGATCAGAGGAAGTGATCGATGTCGGGATTGAGAGGGGGCGGAATAGGTGGAAGAAAAGCGGCCATTGCCGCGGGAGTCGTCGGCGCGTCTTCCTCATGGAAGTGGTGCTGGACGAACGAGGGATAGTGGAAGGCCCCCGGCACATGAGACAGGACATGTGGTTCCAGATCTGCCACCGCTCGCACCACTCGCTTGCGCACCGACCGGGGTCCGGGCCCCGTCATCACCATATGAGTCTCGGTGTAGGGCCGCCGCTCCTGCTTCTGCGCCGCGAACACAAGGAAGTGATACACCACATTGGGACGCTGCCTGGTCTCATAGATGAGCATCCCTGCCAGTCGCGCCGCAATATACCCTTGAAAAGGGGGTGTCAGATATGGCTCCCACGCCGGATCAAGGCGCGGCGCCCCCGCGATGGCCTCGAGCCTGATGGTGGTGGGCTCCACCATGAAGTCCACCTCTGTCGGATGGACTGTCCGGCTCGGAGGAACTACTAATGTCAATGATCGGGGTTGTCTGGGGTGGCGGGCGGAAGCGGAAAGGTCCTGCGAGGACCGGGGATCCGGGTACGGGATCTGGTAATCCCATTCGGCTCCCTCCTCCGGCTGCTGCGGCTGATGGCCCGGCTCCATCGAGATTGAGATCGGGCACGAGCGGGAAGGGTGGTGATGGCACGACGGTCTCCTTAACCCGCGTCGCCGCACTCCCGGGCACCGGGTCAAGATCCCACGTGTGCACGGGCTGAACCACCTCCTCGCCGCCACCGATCCTGCTGCCTTGCGCTCCTGGCGACGGGTGGCGTCTCTTCCTCTTCGGCGTCTTCTTGGGGGCCTTTGGCGGCGCCGGTCTGGCATACGACGAGGGAGGCCGCAACGACTTTTCCTCCGGGAAGTCCTCCAACCTCTCCGCGCGCTGCGCAATGTAATCCGGGAGGACGACCTCGTTGTACATTCTCCGCGGGGCAGCCGCTGTCCGCAATCGTGGCTGGATCTCCTCTTCCTCGCTCGCGATCAGTTGCGCAATGGATAGGAGCTAAAGATGTATGAGCTCCAACAATCCCGGATCGATCGTCTGGGGCTGGGCGAATGGGTACAACGCCACTGTCCCCTCCTTCTGCGCTGGCTTGGGCCGCGTGATGACGAAGTAGACGACGAAGTGCTCCCCGATACAGTGGTCTTCGTGATCCACGAAGAATCGGAACATCCCCAACGCCACCGACTGGTACAGAGCACGGTGCAACTCCCACGCGTCTTCGTCTGCGAAGGGCAGCGATTCCATGTCAGTTAGCTCCACCAAATACTCCGAGAACTCACGCATAGGATAAGGGTCCTCCGTGAGTTGATAGGGGAGAGTGGTGTAAGAGAAGAAGGGAGGCATTTAGTACGGGGCAGGGGGGATAGCTTGGATGTTGAGAGGGGCAGCGGGAGGAAGAAGCACGGGGAGCTGCGGCACCAACGCGATCGGTCCGTCCTCTGCCCTGCGCAGCAGCGTTTCGTGGGCTTTGAATCGGTGCCCCCCCCGTCCTTGCACTTTGGCCACTGATCTGGCCGCCTGCACCGCGTACTCGCGCACAAAACTCCGCGCCAGCTCCCGACTCGGCGGTGGCAGGATCGTCAAGTCGCCGATAAAGGTGGCGACGCTATGCACAAAGTTGGGTGCCACCTGGAGCGAGCGGAACTCGATGAATACTCGAGTCGTCTCCCGCCCAGGCAACTGCGTCACGTCCACGTACACCCCTGCATACGTCAGCTGATCACAAAGTAGCGAGTATGTTGCCAGATCGGCAACCGCGGGCGCTGGCACGTTCACCTGCTGAATGTCGTATCGCAACTGCCTTTCCTCATTGAACTGGTGCCGCAACAAGCGATCTGCAAGCGGCGTCTGGAAATGCTCAAGGGGCTCATGCTCCGGCTGGCGATGGTTCATCCTGCTCCCTGAAACTCTTGGCACCAAGGGACGAGGCAGATCGGGAAGTGGAAGAAGACGAAGAAGGAGAGGGGGGGAGAGAGGACGAAGGCTCAGACCGGGCAAGAGCCGATTCGCGGCCCGGAGATGGCCGAAACAGCCGAAGAGCCGCCGCGTGTCGCGTAAGCGACCTGGCCTGCGTGGTATGCCGGGGGACCAGCTTCATGGAGTGCTGTCCTCGTGCGCCAACTTCCGTCACTTCGTAAATGCCGGTATAGCGTGGGTGGATCTTGGAGGAGCGCGCAGATTTCCGTACCTGCACCAAGTCCCCAATTTTATAATGGGGCATTGGCCCCGCTGTCGCGTGTCGATTCTCATAGTCCCGGATCTGCCGTTGATGCGTCAGATCTACAGCCCTTTGTCGTCTTCGGGCTAATGCGGGATAGGTCCGGGCCATCAGATCCAGATAATGCTGGGCCTTGTCCTTGTGCTGGGCCCGGGTCACTCTAACTTCCGTACCCACTAGAGGGGACAACTGCACTCTGGGGACGCTATTGGTTCTCAGTTGGAACGGTGACACCCCGGTGCTCCTGTGGGGAGTAGCCCGATAGACGGCCAGAATGTGATCGACTATGACAGGCCAGGGTCTGGTATCACCTGCCGTGATATTCCGTCTAAGTGCAGTCTTGATCATTCAGTTGGCATTCTCTACGAGCCCATTCAGTTGGCATTCTCTACGAGCCCGTTGGCTTGAGGCCAGTGCCCTGGGGAGTATGAAATTCTAACGTCTGCCCTTACAAGATGTCGCTCTACTTCCCCCTGGAACTCGGACCCATTGTCCATATGTATCTCTTCTACTTCCAGGTGCATGCACAAAAAGCGATTAATGTACCAGGCTACTTCCTGCGAGTTCCGGCTGGTCATTGGATACGCTTCAATCCATTTCGAAAAATGATCTACGGCCACAAGAAGAACATTTAGTTCTCCTTGATCCACAGGGCCTCTCGGCACGTTGATGTCCGTCGTATCGCTACTGACCTGTTGAAAGGGGCGCTCTACCCGGGTAGGCACTATTGTACGAGGCATCTATATCGGCGCTTTATCGGCCACGCAGGCCGGGCAAGTCCGGGAAGATGTATTTCACATCTTCCCGGATTCCCGACCAGTACCATCCGTTTTTCTCTATTGCTTTTTCCGTGTATTTGACTGCAGAGTGGACCGCATCCTCATCGTGGGCGGCTCGTATCCAATCGAACCTCGCCTGTGGGTGAACCGTCAGCTAACTAGATCCGTCGACGTCATCGTCTTTTCGTTTTTGAAGGACCGATCCCTGCCAGCGGTAATCGTGCGCCCGTTCCGTGACACGTCGCCGTTCAACCTTGGTAAGTTCCGTCAGCGGATCGCCTGTCAGTCTCCGTAATAGCAGGAGATCCGTCCAGACTTCTGCTCGGCGGACGCTTGGCAAAAATCCGTCTGTCGTTCTAGCTTCTAGATACCGTTTTTCCGTAGGTACGTGGTCCGTTCGACAGTTGGGACAGCTCCAACTTTTTTCGTTCCGATACTGGGCACAACTCCCATGGGACCGGACGATGTGACATTGACTACATTGTACTCAGGGAAGAAAGGTAGGCCCCTCGAGAGGAGGATCTCCCCCTGTCGGTATCATAGGCAAGGTGCAGAAAAAGCAGATTTGGGAAGGCTCGCTCAGAGGGGAGTCAGGGTCAAAAGAGGGGGTTGAAGAATAGCGAAGGGGGGAGGGGGTGTCGGCTTCCTCATGGGAGATCGCCATCTCCAATTGCTGCAGTACCCTTGCGGAGGACATTCACCTCCCCGTAGCCGGGCTCCGTCGAAGGCGAAATCGGCTTCCACGGGATGAGCTTCTCGTTCGCGGGACTCTTGCTCGGCGGCTGGAGGTGCGTCAGACCATCGGCGTTCCCGTGCTGCCGGGTGGCGCGGTGGCGGATGTCGAAGTCGTAGTCCTGCAATCTCACCGCCCACCTTCCCAAGGTACCCGTGTAGTCCGTGTTGTTCCGCAACGATAGCAATGGCTGATGATCCGTCACAAGCACGAACTTCTGGCCGTACAGATACGGTCGAAAGTGTTGAGCTCCCCACACCACCGCCAAGCATTCACCCTTGCACGCCTTGTAGTTTGACTGCGCCTGGCTCAGTGTTTTCGACGCATACTCGATGACATGCTCCCTTCCATCCGATCCTTGCAAAGTCAGCACCGCCGATATCGCCTGCGGCTGCCCGTCGGTATGCAGCGCAAACTGTCGTGTTGGATCGGGGCGCGCCAACACGGGTGCCGATGTTAGAGCCTCCTTGAGTGCCCGAAAAGCCGCCTCACATTCCGACGTCTAGATCATTTGCTCCTCCTTCTTCAGCAGGTTCGTCAGCGGCTTGGCGAGGCAGGCAAAGTTCCGAATGAAGCGTCGATAATAAGAGGCCAGCCCTAGGAAGGCTCGAACCTGAGTGAGCGTGACCGGGGCCGGGGATTTTTGAACCGCTGCTACCTTCCTGGGATCCGGTTTCAGTCCCTCGACCGTGACGATGTAGCCCAAAAAGGAAATTTCGGACAAAAAGAACTCGCTTTTCTCCAGAGCCACTTTGAACCCCGCATCTTTCAACGCATGCAACACCCATTCGACATGTTCCACGTGGTACTCGTAGGTTTTGGAAAAGACCAAAATGTCATCCATGTACACAATCACACATAAATTTATCAACGGATGAGTCAAACAGGTTTTGTTAACGAACTCGGCGAAGGCCATGTTCATGGCCCGCTGGAATGTTGTGGGGGCGTTACAAATTCCCATGGGACACCGGATCCACTGCCACGTACCCTCGGACAGGAACAAAGCGGTTTTGGGCCGATCTTCCGGTCAGACTGCGACGTGGTGAAAACCGTGTCGGATATCGAACTTTGAAAAGACCCGAGCGGGCCCGATAGCATCCAGCAGGTCGTCAATCCGCGGTAGCGGGTAGACATCTTTGGTAGTAATAGCGTTTATATTGCGGTAGTCAATACACACTTGGACTGAACTGTTTCGTTTTGGCACGAGGACCATGGGAAATGACCATGGTCCCAGCGATGGTTCAACCCACCCTAACAGCTCGAACTCCCGTACCCTTTCCAAGGCCAGCTGTCTTTCCTTTAGGGAATAATGGTACGGTCGGCAATGTATCGGAGCGCAATCACCGGTATCAATCGCGTGTTGGATAAGGTGGGTAAGTCCTATATCGTGGTCCTGGATACTGACGGCCTCCAGGTAGGCCCGTACAACTGCCAAAAGAAGGCGTTTATAGTCGTCAGGCACATGGGCCGGCAGCCGGACGTCCACGTTTCCCTCGGGGAGGGAGATCGTCGACGTAACCATGGGGACTGCTGCGTTAGCTTCGGGTGAGGCCTCAAACAGAGAGTTGTCGTTTTTTGCCGAAAGCACGGTCGCGATAAGTTGATTGTCTGCAGGGCTTATCGGTTCATTTTCCATGTCACTGTCATTCTCGAGCTCGGTTTCAGCCGAGGGTTCCACCGAAAAGGCCTGCATCAGTTCCTTCGGCCTCCATTGATATTCACTCATCCGGGGTTGAAATGACACCCCTTCCTTCAAGAGCAGGACGACTTTTGCGTTTGTAAGCAGGGGCCTGGGAGGCCGAAAAGTTAAGTCACACAACCCCCTGAGCTCCGTAAACCTTTCGGGCAGGGGATCCGTTCTAAGATATAAGGACGCAGGGGGTTCCGAAAGGTCAGTTATTCGCGACACCCTCAGCAGGGGTTCCCCCTACACCATTGAGGAGAATGCGTGCGACCAATCGGACTTGCTCCGAACTATTTCCAGGGGTTCTCGTCGCCAGGAATGGCGCCACCGATCCTGAACCCGGATCGGATATCGGTTGGGAACGTCAGTCTCGTCAGTTTCCGACGAGGTTTCATTTTCGCGTGGTGACAGGCGTCGGATCATATTGATTTCGTGGGCTTTCGTGGTGATTCGAGGCGCCGGCTGGGTGCGCATACGCACCGCCAATCTCATTGGTATCGTTTGTGGTTTGGGGTGGGCCGATGTGAGCACCACCTTGCAGCTATCAAAGTGCATTCGCACTCCAACCGCCGCCTGCCATGGAATGCCTAGCAGAACATCATACGCCTGTACATCCAGCACGATTGCGTCGCATAAACAATGCACCCGCCCCACCCGTATAGGCACGTTCGTTATCCGCCCTTTACAATGAATGCTGTCTTCCGTAGCGGATATATACAGTTCATCCGGTCGGAGGGGCTGAACCTGTTCTTCCCTTCCCAATCGTTTCGTCAATCTCCAAGAAATGGCGACCGCTGACGATCCCGAGTCTAGGATGGCGGCCGAGGGGTTTCCCCAGACCTCGCAGTCACACTCAACGCTTTTCCAGGTTATAGGATAGGCTCGGAGGAATACCTCGGGTTTTTCCGAGGCGGAATCTATGGTCTGGATCATTCCTATCCGGTTGGTTTCGTGCACCTTTGAGGTCGAGGGTTGTGACTCCTCGTTTGTGGGTGGGTCTCGTAGGACCGGCTTTTTGCCCTTTCAACTTTCCTCGAATCGGCGCCTGTTTTTGAGGCATCGTTCGATCAACTTTTCGTTAGCCGCTTCGAAAATGGTTAGCAGATAGGGAATAGGGATGGGGATCCGTAGATCCAGAGCCTTCAAGGCATCTAATACGTCGATATGGCCATCCTTGTATTTAGGACCAGGTGCCACAAGATCTTCAAACCCTGGTCGCCACGGCCCGAGGTCGCTTTCCTCGGTAATCCGTTGGACGTGACGTATCACTCCGATGGTCCCGGGTTCGAACATCGCTGCCGCCATATACTCATCGGGTCCTATCTCAGTGGCCGCAGGGGTCACCATCTCCGTCGTTCCCGTGTCCATTACCGTGGCTTCCCTCCCCTGTCCTGCAGCGGTTGGAGCAGCGAGCGGGATTTGGGAAGGTCCGGTGGGCCCAGCGGGCCCACTCTGAGTTCGAGGTTTCGGACAGTCTTTCGCAAGGTGGCCTGGCTGATTACAGTTATAACAGCGTAGGGGCGGGACAGCCCCGGCCACGACCGGTCTCATCATAGGGGCCCCGGCGGCCATAGCCGCTTGTTGCCGTTGTGCGGCGGCTATG